TCAGACCTTCCTCTAAGATCATGTAACTATGAAGAGTGGACTTCATATCATGAGAAATTTGAGGTACTACAACTAGAATACCACACATCTGCACCATTTGGGAAGAAAACATAGCTCGCAAGCCACGTGTTCCTAATGACACTGATTGTCTTGTTGAACATAGACTTAAGAAAAAAAAATACATAACGTAATTTCCTCTGGGAAATCACTGGAAAATAACTCCATTTTAATACTGGATATGTTTTTTTACGCGTTGTGTCCATGTCCCATAGGAACCAGGGGTGTGTCACACGATTTCAGTGTTTCTAATACTATGGCCTTTCATTGACTTTCACCAAGAAAATCACATTATACTGATAAAATTCCTTTTTTAAAAAAACCAAATGTGAAGCACTGTGATTTGCTGTCAATAGAGGTACTAAACAGACACGAGACCCCCCAAACCAGGCTGAATGTATTTAACTTTACGGATTTCGCTTGTGATGGGGAAATGTGATATTGCTGGTTCAAGCCCATCCACCCAAAGAAACATATACGCCTCATGAAGACGATCACATTAGGTGCCATTCAGTGGATCAGAATGGTGCATTGCTCAGTGTCTGATTTTTATTGTGCCTTACGGTTGAAGATCTGGCTTATCCCCATAACTTGTCATGAGTCTCCGTCTGTGTGTTTGTATTATTATTGTCTCTGATTTTGCAGGTAGCAGTGCCTCTCTAGTGGGATCCTCCTTTTCCATCCCTCTGCTCTTCTTCTCGGAACCTCTCCGGCCCCGATAAAACTCTTTGCACATAGCAGTCAGTTTCCAGCACTGTTGTCCATGGTCGGCTGTCACCTGTTGTTAATATTTGTCCTGTAATCCATGCTGTACGATGTCAGCAGTTCAAAAGGGCGCTGTTAGTATTTTTGTCGAATTCAATTAGCATGAGATTCATGGAGGCTCGCAGATCCCATTTCAAGTTCCCAGGTTTTCCAAAGCAAACAGGATTTGAGGGGTCTTCATGATCGACTTTGAGAGGGGCAGGATTAGCCAGTTTTAAAATGGGCAGGGGGGCAAAAGGACGACACCATGTGAAATCTCACAACTTTTTTATTTTGATGTTGGTACATTTTGAAAACAATTGCAAATAATTCAAATGAAATAAACAACAGAACAAATAAAACATAGCCATCCACCCCCCACCCCCCTGAAAAATAGAGCATGTCAGCTTGAACTCTGAAGGTCAGATCTTTATCATAGCCGCTGGCCACTTTGGAGCCCCATCATGGGGGTTTATAGGAGTCTTCTACCCCCCACCCCTGGGGGACGTGGCGCTGCCATCTCACAAACCAAACTCTTAAAAATAGTCCAGTACTAAACTAGTGGGAACAGTCCTGGAGAAAATGACGCTCACATGCAAAATCACTGGGGATTGTTTGCCTGCAGTGGATCACTTTACATAAATACGCCTTGTGTAGTGTGGGGAATATGTGGCAGGAATGAACCAGGGACACAGACATTTATATACACTGAGCAGTGGACAGGGGGAGTTGATGACCAATTCCTGAAGGTACAAACTGAAAAGCTGCTCTGTGACATCACTCCATGATTATGTAGTTTTTCTGTTTCCATGGCAACCAAAAGGGAATAAACTCTATCAGATGATGGGACCATTTTAGGGATATGCGGCAAACCTCACTCTTGCATTCCTACTTTTTTCTAGTTGTTTTTTAATGCATGATGGTTCTTTTTCTGTGATAAATTTTACACTTAGCTTTAGCTTAGCCATAAGTAAAATGCTCTTGCTTTGCCCAAAATACCCAATCATTTTTTTAAAGATCTGGTCTTAATCTAAATAAAATTACAGTTTAAAAACAGTTTGTAAGTGCAATAACTTATTGCGATAACTCACACAAAATATATGACGACAAAATTAAAGGTGAAACATTATTTAAAAAGCAATACAATGTAGCTTAAAGCCAACTTTTTAGACGTTCATGTACAAATTTAAAACAAACTTCAACTCCATTTTAGCCCAGGAAAACTTCAAACGCACACAGATAAACTTCTTACAATGGATTATAATAATACTTTACAACAAATTAGTTACATTTTCCAGGGTTGTTTTCTTACCGCTGTATATCAATCAAATTTACAAAAAAAGATAGTGAAATCGCACACGTGCACACACAAAAAAGTATTATATTATTAATCTTGAACTTCTGTTGCCCTGTTTCAGTAGTATTAGAAATCGACAGGAACAGTAGAGGGAGTGTTATCTTTGAGACCAGTAAAAGTGGGAGTACTTATCTCCTGCCACTAAGACCCAAGCCACTATGGCCCCCAGGAAGCCAAACTGAGACACAATGCTCCATTGATTTTGTTGATTGTACTCATACAATGACAAACACATTGGAAAATACTGTCATGGATTTGAAACTGGTGTTCAGGGTATCTGCACGTATGTTATTATTGAGGGATGGACACATCACTGTGTTGGTCCAGGAAAATCCCATAAATACTGACCTTCACAGGAGGGGATCAATAGGCATTCTCAAAAATAGACCCTATTAGAGATGGACTATTTATGGGCTATTTATGGGCTATTTATCAATAACCCCTAATCCACTGTTGCATTATCGGTATGTGCTGTGATTTGAGGAGTGCACAGAGGACACTGAAGTTAGGAAAGCTGTTTGGGCTCCTACAAAGACGTGCCAAGAAATTGCCCTATGGAGGAAGTAATTGCCATCTGTAATTATTATTAATATGGAGAGAGAGGAAGTAATCTGTGGTCTGCAAGGCATTATGTAGATTACACAAATTAAATTCCATACATGGGGAAATCCTCTTTCTTGGGTAAAAGGAAATGCAAACTGTCCGGCTGATGCGGAAAGCATGCGACTCCACCCACTAAACAGAGATGTAAGGCGTGACAGGTGGCATGACTGAAGCAGTTTCTCACCTCTGTCCGCTTGACCGCCTTCCACGTTAGCGACGCGATTTGTGCCGAGCAGCTTGGCATGGGTTACACTCTGAAGCTAACAGAGGCCATAGGGCAAAATTATCGCCAAAAGCAAGGCCCGCTACTAAAGTCTCACTCTCCGCGCCCATTTTAATCGCTGTCACTTTGTTTCGCTGAATGAATTGCACAATTGGATTCCCTGAGCTTGCAATGCCTGTTCTTTACCTCAGGTTGCCAGATCAGTCGTTTTGATTGTATTTCTGTGACACCGGAGTAAATGTGGTTCCTATTTAGCAGTGCACTGATGTTGTAAATATGGGTTTTAGGTTCAGTTCTCTATATGAGCCAGCCTTGTTATGCTGTTACTCAAACCTCCGGAGCCCGCCTGATTTCTCAAACCATGAAATGGGTGAGATGATGCAGATCCCATGCTTCAACCCTAAACTGTCCTATGCGCCCATAGTGGGGGGGGGGGAAGGTATCCTGGATTTGACCTTGAGCGTCTAGGCGCTCAGGGAGGAGAGCGGAGGGCGGGAAGCAGATCCTAAGCTTTGGCATGCTGGGCGTTTTTCTTGAAATGGGCTCCCTTAGGTCATGCCAAGAACTAAACGAAGTTTGGCTCAAAAGTCGGCCACGCACACCCAACTCAAACGCTTATGCTGTCACATGGCTGCCACACAGAGTCCTAAGAGGAGCCCCATCACAGTGTTCTAACAACGCTTGACACGGCACTGTTACAGATCCAGCTTTTGTGCTGCAGCATGAGGTCAACATTGGAGGACCGTTGCAGGACGGATGCGTGGTTAGATGACTCAAAGTCGACCGTGAGGGTGAGAGACAAGACTAGGCCTCTGACGTTTTCAGCAAAGTTTCAATCCTACCCCAATTTTTGCCTATAGTTCTGGTTTGTAGGTTGCATTGGTTGCATGAACCTAATGCGGCTCCTTCAGCTGCAGGCTGCTGCTCTGAAGGAAGCAGAAGAACCGCCCCTTTAAAAGGCTAACTGTTGGAAAGGGCTCGCCATTAAGTGCTCTGACATGGACTTCTGCAGCTGCGGAGTCTCCGTGAAAATAAACAGGGATGGAAGAGCGAAGTGGAGCCATATATTTCCACAAATCCATCACTATGTAAAAGTGAGACCTTCATCTGGCTCAGCAAACCGTTCCACATGTTGAGACGCATTCCGAATGGAAAGGAGCTGACGTTCTCTTGTTTAGCTGACTGACGGCTTATTTTGCATCGTGGAAAAAAAAGACTTTTCCTTTATTGGAAGCACTTATTACCAGCGTTCAACAGCGAGAGGCGCCTTCATCTTCACTTGTGGAAAAGAACCGGTAGCCTGGATCTGGCTCACTAGAGTGGCTGAAGCAAAAAATATATTATTGATATTGACAGCTGTAGTCAGTGTTTTATAATCCGCACTATATTGTGACTACGCGCCAAAACACAAACTGGTAGACTGAGGCTGCAGTCGTCTGAAGGGGAGCAGGCCAGGCTGCGAGATGGCATTCAAGGCTGCCGCTGTGTGTTTTTCCTGGCTGTGGGGTCCCTCTAGTATTTTGGGGGGGGGGGGGACTTTTCCTGTAACCCGAGGCTAACGGAGGGCTTTCTTTGAGGTCCTGCTGTGCCGAGCCAGGAAGGTTACCTGTGCAAGTGGCTGAGAGAGGAAATGGCATGTCCACTTAAAATCCCTGCCAATCTCCTGTTTCCCCCGACTGTCGGCCGAAACAAGCGGCATGCCTGTCTGGGGCTCCCAGAGCCCCGCTGCCCGATCCTGGGCCGGCAGGCCGGCCCGGCCACTCTCACACGCAGAGGCATCCCTATGGGGCCACGTGCAAAAGGGAAAAACTATGCAAAACAGCAGCCACTCAGGTCCAGTTTAAAACAACATAGAGTCCATTTCTAAAATGGAAATGTGGGAAAGGACAAGGCAAGAACGCCAAACGCCGAATTTTCCTTTTGAACCGAAATGAACTCCTTTGAGTTACTGTTTTAAAAATTCCTCTTTTTTTTTTTTGTTCAAAATTTCAGACTGAAAAAAATGTAATAAGTGCCCTTAAAACCGTGCAGCATTAGTCTTCTGGTGTGAGTATTGTGAATAAAGATTAAAGATAAGGGCCTATTTTTGAAGGATTATGGATCTGTATTAAATTTAAGGTTGGCCAGGATTTGTTTTCAGAGGTGGACCTCATGAGCTCAGTTGGTGTAGACACTCACCCTGAAGTGCAGTGACAGTGACAGCTGCCAGGATTTGATTGGATGTGGTGGAGCAGTGGCATGCAGCTGCCCCCCCACCCCACCTTGGAGCTCCACGTGCAACTATAGGCTGTCGGCACGCGATCATCACCCCAACTACGCTAAGATTGTGCGCCCAGAGAGACGGGAGGCTCAAAAAATAATATCATGACATCAATACTGGTCTCCCTTCTGCTGGCTAGACAGACACGTTTCAAAGATGTTTGTAGTTTGGCCCAGCTTGGGTCAAGGGGGAATACATGTGGGCGGGGTATGTAAGCGGGGGGAGGAGGTGTTTGAGGAGGGCATAGGAGATCACCATACCAGAAAATAAGTGGTGAAGCACATCCGTAACACACTTACAATATTCTCACCCGTTGGAAAATTTGCTAGCACACAAAGTGTTTTCTGTCTATACGTCGCTCTGATTTGTTGCATAGCAGTGAGGTCTGGCTAAAAGGTCTAGCTTTGACTTATTACCCAGAATTTCTTTTTTGGAATTAATTTTTCTTTCTGCATTTCACACTGCCTCACCTGATTTTAGGGCATCCAGTCAATTTGCCAGCCTTCAAATCATGCCTCTCTGATCTCTCGCAGGACTAAGAAATCCGGGATATAAAAATAGACCATGCTTTCTGTCAGCGTCCTGTCTCCTTTTCTCAGCACTTTTGGGTGTAGCTTCTGTAACGGCTGTTGCTATCGTGAAGGATTTATCGACATGTTGTAGCTGTTGGATTTTGGGGTGTATTGTCTCGTCTCACATCCTCTGTCTTGGATTGGTTGGCATGGTAACAGGTGGACCATGGGTCGCAAACTGATGACACGGGATCATCATGTGGCCCAGGAGATGGCGGCGCTGTGCTCCTTGGCCTTCATACGCAGTGCGGCGATGCTGGACGACTTGCGGTCGGGGTCCATGTTGAGGTCATAGCCGTTGATGCCAGCGCCCATACCGGGCCCCCCGAACAGGCTGCCCATGTGTGTCTGTCCCATGTGACCCCCGGGGCTGGGGACGCCCAGGAAGTCTGACACCCCGCCGGTTGCGTGGGGGTGCGGGGTCATGCAGGAGGTTACGGTGTCACAGGGCACCACACAGCCGGGCACTGGAGAGCCAGCACTGCTTCCTCCGATCCATGAGGGGTTCTGGATCTGGAAGATAGGGAGTAGGGTGTCTGTTCACTACACGACCTCTCCTGAATCTGTCAAGGCAGCAGTCTGAAGGGTGATTCACTGCATCACAGCCAATTCTATGTAACCTAATTCTAAATTATTATCAATATGATTTAATCATGTAAATAAAGCGAAACAAAGTGAGTAGAAAGCTGCTTCCCTAAAGGATTTGACAGTTGCTCTAAACTCGGAGAAAGTGCTGCATAACCCCGTGAAGTTTGCAAGTATCTGGACCTAAGAGCAAAGCCCCCTGTGAGAGTCAGGACTGTATAAATTTAGAATGGTAGGGTTGGACCTGAATAGCGCCTGGCGGGAGGGGGAGGTCAGAGAGCTGTCGAATGGGGATTGAGTGGAGGGGTGGTGCGCGGGGTGCGGGTGTGTTGGGCGGGGCTCTGCCTGTGTGGGAGGGATGCCGGGGAGATGCTCCAGATGTGAGAGGTCCCGCATTCCACAGCTGCACGCCCGTGTGCGCCGCCCCCC